CGGACACGAGGGAGAATTTGTGTCTGTGCAGTGACCGAGCACTGAACAGATTGCCCAGGCAGGGGGTGGAATCTCCTTCCCGGGGATATTCCAGGACCACCTGGACACAATCCTGTGCCATGTGCTCTGGGATGGCCCTGCTGGGGCAGGGAGGTGGCACCAGGTGCCCCACTGTGGTCCCTCCCAGCCCGAGCCCTGCTGGGATCCTGTGGGGAAGCGCCTCTGCGGGGGTTGCTGCCCGTGAGCTCAGCCCCTCTCGGTGACTGACAGCTGTCAATCACCGCCGGGCTGCCGGCCGGCGCGGCCGCTGCGGCGGCGGAGGAAGAGGAGGAGGATGCGGAGGAGGAAGAGGAAGAGGAGGAGGAAACGGAAGCGGCTCCTCTGGGCGGCAAGAAAAGACGACGGTGCGAGACGGCGGGAGCAGCGACGGGGGACACCGGCGGGGAAGGGCCGGCCCCGGGTCCGGTGCGGGAGGGAGGGACGGGCCGGACCGCACCGGAGCGGCCCCGGTGTGCGGCGGCCGAGCCGCTCCCTCCTTCCCCCAGCCCCGGTGCCGCAGCTTCTCCCGGGGCTCCGTCTGTGCCGGTGCGGGGATGGAGCTGCTGGACGGCGGCAGCATCTCGCTGTGGACCGTGGTGGGGGCCGTGCAGGCGCTGGAGCGGAGCGTGGCCGCACACGCGTCCCGCCTGCTCAGCCTGGAGCACCGCGCCGGGAACGCCGAGAAGAAGCACCTGGAATACGAGAAAGGAATGGGAGAGTTGGGGAACCAGCTTGACAGCAAGTGGACGGCGCTGGGCAACCTTGTCCAGGAGTACGGGCAGCTCCAGCGGCGCCTGGAGAACATGGAGAACCTGCTGAGGAACAGGAACTTCTGGGTGCTGCGGCTGCCTCCGGGCGGGGGAGTCCCCAAGGTAACAGAAGGGTCTCTGAGGGGTCTGGGGGACACACGCTGCTCCGCTCCTCACCCCTGCCCGGCAGCCTTCCTCCGTGGAAGTCATTCCATGGATCCTGCCGGGGTGCAGGGGCACCAAGCAGGCAGCGATCGCTCCTGTATGTTGTTGTGTTTGGCTGGTTTTCCCAGCAGAAGGACAGGTTGACATATTTTCACCAAAAACGGGAGGTTCTTCCCAACTCTGATATTCCCAGTAGGATCAGACTCCACACAGGGGGAAGTAAGAACATTGTGGAATTCACAATTCATCCCCCCAGGGATTAGCAAAGAACATTACTCTCTGTGGCCAGAGGATGCCCCAAGGCAGGCGTTTTCCTGACACCTGGTAGCTGGGATGAACAGGAAGGAGGATTCTTGGTGTTCCAGGCTCAGTGCTGAGCGTGTGGCTTTTGGGATTGCAGGCCCCGACCCTGGTGTTGGAAAATGACGCCACTGGCTTTTCGGCTCAGGAGTGGGAGAACCTGGAGGAGTGGCAGAGGGAGCTGTGCAGGAAGGTGCTGGCAGGGAAGAGCCAAGCCCTGATCCTGCCGGGTGAGTGTCGCTGTTCCGGTCGGTTATCGGCGCTTCCGGACTGGCTCGGGTTTGGGGAGCCTTTCCCACACCTGGGGAGCAGATCTGTGTGAGCACGGAGAGGCCGGTGTGTGTCACACCCTGTCCCATCGGTCACCTCCATGCCTGGTGCCAGCACAGGC